CTGGTCCAGTTCAGGGCTAGCCTAACATTACAGAGCTTGGATGAGGCTCACAACACCGAGAGAGGCAAGGGGCAAGCCACCCGAAGTCTAAGTGCCAAAGAGGCCTTTCCTGGTGGAGGAGGGAGGTGAGAGAAAACTTCGTGGAAGGTATGATACCTGAGAATTAAAATAGATCAAAGGATGTGGTAGCATAAGGCAAAGGTCTGCAGGCTGCACTGTGTGGACGATCATCCGAGCCCAGCAATCGGTCAGTTAGGCTGAGCGGAGCCATGCTGGGCCAGGAGGCAGGCTGTGAAAGCAGTGTCCTAGACGGAGCTGGGCAGACTGGCCCTGGGACTAGACTAGTCGGGCTCCGAGACTCCGCTGACGCTGTCAACAGGAATAGCAAAAATACTAATGAGAGATGTCTTACAAAGCAAGTACTGGAGTTGGAATTGATGCAAGGTGATCTTATGCGTGGCCGTCGGAACAGACCCTTATTCCGTGTTATTATTAGGTACTGTCAACTCTGGAGGACACCCAGAGTACAACAAAATAAAGCCAGGCCCCTTCCTACACCACGTTTACAGCCTTCCCTGTGCTTAACGCCCGTTGTTGTAATCACTGTCTATCCCTCCTGCTGACTCTTCCTCTTATGCTGATCTCTTACTTTTTCTAGAATGTTATCCTTCCTTCTCCAGAGACCAGCTCTTCCTGATAATATACCCAAAGTCTGTGAGACAAAGTCTTTAATTCTAAGGAGCACTCCAATTGTCTTTCTTCCAAGAGCAATTTGTTCATTCTTTTGACAGTCCATAATATACTCAAATGTTTTTTGCTAACTTCACAACTCACAGGTATCAATTCTTCTTCAGTTGTTCAGCTTTCACAGGCATATGATGAAGCAACTGAAAAGATCAGGACTTGGGGCAGGCACACCTTAGTCTTTAAACTGACATCCTTGCTCTCCAGCATTTTAAAGAGGTTCCTGAAAGCAGATGTTCCTGAAGGACTGAGTCTCTGATATTTTGACTGCTGGTACTATAGGTCTTAATTGTGGAAATTCTTAACAGCTTCGATCTTTTCTCTATTTATCATAATGTGAGGGGGTTTTTGGTCCAGTTATGGAGATTTTTGTTTTCTTGATGATGAAATGTAATCCATACTGAAGGCTATATAGTCTTTGATCTTCAGTAAGCACGTCGTCTTCATTTTCTGTATGTCAAGTCGTATCATCTGCATATCTCAAATTGTTGATGTCTTCCTCTAATCTTGATGCCATATTCTTCCTCATACGGTCGAGTTTCTCATATTATTAGTATGCATATTGAAAAATATGGTAGAAGACTACAGCTCTGATGCACCCCTTTTAAGCCCTGCAGTATCCCCTTTATTCTATCTGCACAGCTGTTTCTTGGACTGTGAATAGATTTCACAGGAGCACAGTTAAAGTGTTCTGGAATTCCCATCTTGCTCAATGTTATGCATAATTTATTATTATCCACACAATCAAGTGTGCTTGTATAGTCAATAAAATACAAACAAAACATCTTTCTGGTATTGTCTGCTTTCAGCCAAGATCTATCCGCCATCAGCAAACACGTAATCTGTTTAGCATCTTTTGAATCCAGTTTGAATTTCTAGCAGTAACATTGATTCTTGATCATAGGCTAGTTTCTAAAGTAATTGAGCATTAATCAGTTGTTGGCTGTACAGTGGCTCAGTATTCCTTCCATCTTCTTTTGCTTCCTGAGTCCTTCAGGATCTTGGCCACGGAATCCTTCAGCCTTGCGGTCTCAGGGTCTTCCTCTCAAGTCTTCTGTTTCTTCACGTTCTTCTCTTTTGGTTTTCTAACTCCAGCTCCTTGCATAGTTCAACTTGCTTTGATCTATCTTCTTGAGCTACTCTTTGAAATCTTCCTTTCCTCTCTCTTCTGCATTTCTTCCTTTCACTTGTGTACGAGAGTCGGAACTGACCTAGAGCCGACCCTCCAGTGGGTTTTCAGAGGTGGTGAATCGCGCTGTAGGAGGCTGCCTGTCTTTCTTCTGTGAAGCAGGTGGTGGATTCAAACCAAGTACCTTTGGGTTGGCAGCACAGCTCCTTTCCACGAGGCCACAGAGAGCAAGTTCCAAAGTCCCTTCTGACATCTGTTTTGGTCTTTTCTTTCTTTTCTCTTTGAAAGACTTCCTGCCTTGCTTCTTGAATGATGTCCTCCTCCTCCAAGGGCAGACCTGTCTGTTCTTCGTTAGTGTTCAAGGCATCAAATCTATTCTTGAGACCGTCTTTAAATTCAGGTGGAACGTAGTCAAGGTCTTGTTTTGGTCCCCATGGGCTTGTTCTCATTTTCTCCTGTTTGGATTTGAATTTGCACCTGAACAATGAGCGAGCTGTTCCCCGAATGGCCTCTGGTCCAGTCCTGACTGGAGATGCTGAGATCCTTATCTCTTTCCACAGATGTACTTGATGCAATTCCTGGCCGTGCCATCAGGTGAGGTCCTTGTGCAAAGTCACTTTGGGTTCCCCTTCTTATTTTTATTTCATTTCCACAAAGTCTCAAACAGCTGATTATTTAAACATAGAGCTCCAGGCCTTTCTTCCAAGGCATCTCCAGGTGGACTTGATCCTCCGGTTTTTAGTCTCACACCTGAACACAGTAACGTACAATACCCAGAGACCCCAGTGATAACAATAGCATTTATTGAAAGGCTTTTTTCTTGCTGAGTCCTCACTCTTGGCTAAGCCTCTTGACATGCAGGCAGTCTCCGAGGGTGATGGTTTGACATGACCCCTCAGGCTTGTGGGCAACCCCTGACTGCCCTTCAAGTTGATGTGAATTTGCTTTCCCTGTGAAAAGACTGAATCAAGCCCTTGTTGTTGTCGTGTACTGTCGGCTGGGAATCAGCTCCTAGCTGATCCTCTTTCGGGTTTTCAGCGGCTGTTAAATCCCATGGGAGAGGATGGCCCATGTTTACCCTGCGGAGCATCTGGTGGATTCAAACCACGTGCCTTCGGGGTGGTGGCACAGCTCCTTACCACCAGACCACCAGAGGACTCCGAACCAACCCCTATTCAGACAAATTCTTCGTGATCACCTTCACTTGCTCTACGTGCAGCTTGTAGGTCTCGCACTAAACTAAAGCTAAGTAAGAATAATATGCACCCAAAAAACCAAAACAAACAAACAAAAAAGAATAATATGCCTGTGGTCCAACTTGCTTGCAAATTCTTAAAGATTTGCTTAGGAAATAGAGGGAATCTCAATTGTAATCCAAAGACGGCACATAGATTGTTGTTGTGATGTGCCATCAAGTTGGAGCTGACCCTCCAGAGGGCTTTCAGGGGCAGGTAATCGCATGAGAGAAGACTGACCATCCTTCTCCCTCGGAGCAGCTGGTGGATTTGAACCACGTGCCTCTGGGATTGAAGCTCTAGGCCCACCAGAGCCCCCTGCCTAGAAATTCAATTTTATTTAATCCCCAAAACAAGTACTGTTATTGTTCTTATTTTGCAGATAAGGAAACTGAGCACAGAGAGGTTAAATGATACCTGGTCACACAGCTGACAACTGTCAGAGCTCACGTTTGAGCCCAGGCAACCTGGCTCCAGAGCCTGTGCATTTTACCCCTTTTGAAGCACTGTTTGGATCTAGAAATGTGCATATGGCAAAGGCTCCCCCTGAAGAAAAAGGATCGGGCTCCATTTCCCCAGAATTTAGTCAAAACCTGTCTGAAGAACTGGACCCACTTCAGCCCTGAAGCCAAAATTCTGTGCAAGAAGCGTCAGCTGCAGGTGGGGATGGAAAGACACGGCTGCATGATGCCTTGTCCACCCGCCGTTCACCCCACACGCGCAGCCCTAGAGGCGCCCGCCTCTCTGATCTGCGCTGCGGACCGCAGTTCCCAGGTGCCAAGGCCGCTGAGCACAAGCGAACATCGCCCCCTCGTGTTCGTCTGAGGAAAAGCACTGATCTCGTAGGTGTTGATTTCCAACGTGACCCAAAGTCAAACCAAAACAAAGAATACTCATCCCCCACTGAGGTTTCCCAGGAGAACACTGCACCCTTTCAGTTAGCAACCTAACATGGATTGTATTCTACCACCAGGACTCCTAACTGAAAGGTGGCACCTAAGAGTCCTGATGGGGAGTCCTGTGAACTGGGGAGCAGAGACTTTAGATCGGTAAAGTCAATGATAATTCTCTGAGACTGGAGTTTCACACCCAAGCCATCACGTTCACCAAGGGAGATTCAATCCTGTGTGATCATCACATAGCCAAGCCGATGGGGCCTGACTTACTCCCTGGAGGAGAAGCGGGTGTCTCTCTCCTGCTGTGAGGATGTCCTGTGGCCCCAAGTCCTGGTCAGCATGACCTTAAGACCTCAGGAGTGTGTGAGGGAGAGCCCTGCGAAGAACTGGACTTGAATCTCTGGAAGTTTGGAATCATTGTAATTTGGGGGGGCTAAAGAAAAGAGGCCCCTGACATCGACTGATGACTTCTCAGACACTGTCCAGACTGAACTGTGGTCCTGACTTGGTCTCCCCAAGAGGCAAGAGGCCAAGACCTTATCATCCCCCCTAGTCAGGTGAAGGTCACTGGTAAAGTTGAAGTAGGGATCGCCACCCTACTCCCAACCCCCTTCCACACGGGTCTTATTCAATCTTCACAGAGTTTCTTGGATGGAGAGGACTGGAGCCACTCATCCTCATGTCACAAAAACCCAGGGCCAGTGAAGGTCAGGTGCAGCCAAGGTCATTCAGTGAGGCTCAGAGCCAGACCTCAAAACTTGGGTCCCTGACTCCTCTGCTGAGCCTGTGGAATTAGGGCAAAGTCAGCATCCCTAGATAGGGGTGCACCTGTCTGGAACAGAACTTCAGAAGAGTAGAGCAGTGCACGTTCTCTCTGGGCTTGGGGAGGCCCCTAGGGTGAGGTCAACTCTCTGGAGGGGGCATAGTGGCCTCAGGTGTCCAGTAGCAAGGAGGAGCCCAGAGGGCTGAGGTGAGGTTTGAAGCTGAGAGTTCAGACTACTGCATCATCTGGGACGAGCTGAAAGTCTCCATCTCTGTTGTCACCTGCATCTCCCTGTGGTACCTCTGGGAGCAGAACCACAGGAAGAGGAAGAAACCTGCAAGAGAAGGTCATTTGGTGAGAGCACTGTGGGTGCAGTGGGGCTCATCCAGAACCCAGGCAGTGAAAGAGTGGGTGAAAGGAACCACGGTGGGTGGGGTTCGGCAGCTATGAGGAAGGCTGGATCTAGCCCACAATCGGCTCTGTGGGGGAAAGGCCTGGCAATCTGCTTCTACAAAGATAATTATTTTTATATGTAATCAAGTTGCCTGCAGCTAATAGTGACGCTATGCACAATGGTCCTGAAGCCTGACGTATCCTGAGCCAGTCTCATTGACTCCAACACATCTACTTCCATTGCCCTAGTTACTGTATCAATCCATTTTATCCAGTATCTTCCTCTTCTGCACTGTCCCACCACCCTTCCAAGCATGTTGTCCTTCTCCAAGGACTGGTCCCTCCTGGCCACACTCCCAAAGTAATTGAGATGGAGCTTCAAAATCCTTGCCTCTGAGGAGGAAATTAGTTTCACTCTCTAGAAGACAGACCTATTTGTTCTCTTGATGGTCCATGGTATGTTCAATACTCTTCTCCAGCAACATAACACAAAGGCATGTATTCTGTCATCCTTAGTCACTGCCAGTTCTCTGATGCATAGCAAGTAATTGCAAAGACTATGGCCTGGATCAGGTGCACCTTAATCTCTAGACTGACTGCATTGCTCTTTAGTGCTTTGGAGAGGTCCCTGACAGCGAACTTCCCCAATACATTTTGTCTTTTGATTTCCTGATTGGTGATGCCAGAGAGCTGACTGTGGAGCTGAAATTGTTAATAGCCTCAATCTTTTCTCCATCTATCATGGTGCTGACAATTGGCCCAGTGGTGAGAATCTTTGTTTTCTTGATGTTGAGCTTCAGTCCATATTGAAGACTGCAGTTCTTGACTTTCTGCAGCAAACGCTTCAGGTCCTCCTCAGTTTCAGCAAGCAGGGTTGTGTCATCTGCATAATGCAGGTTTGTTGATGAACCTTCCTCCACTCATGATGCCATATTCCTCCTCATAAAGTCCAACCTCCCGAATAAAACCCTTTGGGGTAGTGTTACTCTGTCCTGCAAGGTCACTACGAGCTGGTACCAACCTGAAAGGGCCTAATAACAACCACAGGGTCTATGAAAAATCCCAGGATTTCTTTCCACCAGCAGCCATAGGGCGTAAGGATGGAATGCATGAAGATGAGATGGCCCAGCCACTGTTAGCTCATAGGGAGTTTGGTGCAAACTGTGCAGAGTCCCTTCCTCTGGGCAGACCTAACCCCATCTCATTAGGCCCAGGCAGCATGTCAGCCGCACCCTCCCCTGCCCATAGCCCCTGGGGTTCCTCTGCGCCCGCCCCCCAGGCCTCACCATAGATGGAGTTCAGGATGGTGAAGAGGAAGAGCTGAGGTACCAGGAAGACACTGAAGGAGAAGAAGCCGGTGACCCAGGTGGTGCCCAGCAGCACGGTGAGGCCCAGCACGGTGACGACGTCGCTGCGGGCTCGGGGGTTCAGTACCTCTTCCCGCGCCCGCAGCCTGTGCAGGGTCAGCAGCACCCAGGCCAGCACCACCAGGTTGAAAAGAGACGTGAGGCCACTGTAGCCCATGACCAGGATGTGGTGCACGGAGGGGTTCTTCACCCAGCATCTGCAGGCCAGGGGTCGAGGGCAGAGTCAGTCCCAGGGTCACTCAGCCCCTGGACCACCTCTTGAATATAGTCTGATTTTCCTGACTCTGGTCCCTGATCTCACACCTGGTAGAATCCTGGTCACACCTCTCCAGCCAAGCCACCTGGGTGGGGCCCACATAATGTGCACCCCTCTCCAATCACACCAGCTTTTCCTAGGACTCCATTCCTCTAGCCCCCTGGAAACATCCTCTCCCATCTAGTGTCCCCGCCCGCCTGTCCAAGGTCAGCCCAGATGCCAACCTCCACACTGTTCCGTTGGGGCTCTGGTCCAGGGTCCTCGTCCTGGAAACCTCCTTCCTTCCTCACCACATGGTCATCACCCTCCTTGTGCAACAGGACGCCCCACTTCAGGTCCTCCCCTCCCCACCCTAGACTGGACCAGGATGCGGAGAGGGTCCCACCGCTGCTCTCCTGAGTGAGCGCGACTTGAGGAAGGGCACCCTCGTGAAGCAGAGAGAGCAGAAGAAAGCCCCAGCCAGAGATGAGAAAAGAGCGGGACAGAGGTCTGAAGGTGGCCAGTCCTGGTCCTGCCTAGGCCTTTCCAAAGGCCTGGCTGCCTGCAGCACCCTTTGCCTCCTGAGACACCTGCCAGAGGATGTCACCTTTTATCAAATCAAACACTATGCTGCACCCTTTCCAGAGGGCTTCTCATTCAACCCTCAGGACAAACTGTGGGATAGATGGGCCCCCGCTCCCGTGACTGAAGAGCTGAGAGGCCGAGTTATTTGTTCAGGAAGACACACCAGTAGGTGGTCCTCTCCGTCATTTGAGCCCAGCGCCCGTGCCCGCCTGTCCCCGTCACCTGCTAAGGCACCACCACCGATTCCGGCCCTTTTAGTTGTGTCATTCTCGCTCTGGACTCACAGTCAGTTGGTGATTCCACCACCAGTTTATGTCCTGGCAAGCGCCCTGGCAGCGGGCACCTGGGTCATTGCCAAGGTTTTGTTCTATTGCTACTTGTGTTTACAAAATGGCAAAGTACTTTCAAAATTCAGATGAATAAAATTCAGATGGATAAATGAGGGCAGTGGTTTTCTGAGAGGAAAGGACGAGATGAGTCCGGCGTGGGGAGAAGCCGGTTTTCAGAGGACTTGCTCTAGCACATCCACGCGTCAATGTGATTCTGATTGGGTGAGTCGCTTCTGCTCATTTGTCCACATCACATTATATGACACAGCCCATGTTCGAATCCCCGAGTCGCACTTTCTCTGAGGAGCCAGCCCCAACCCTGGCCATGAGGAGACATAACCCCCTCAGCTTGGTCCCCCAAGTCCCCGCTGCTAGGACAGTGGTTGGGAGTCAGGTGCTAGAGCCAGCCCAGCGTGGGATCACGTCTGAGCTCTAGAACTGTCTGAGTCACCTTGGACAGGACTCCTGAGTTGGCAGTACCTCAAACAGGACAGACTATAGAATATCTAGATTATAGACTATAGAAGTCCTCTTGGGGTAAGGACTGAACAGGCCAATACAGAGGCTCCTTCACAGAGTCGACCCTCAGGGATCTTGACCTTTCTCCGCCCAGGGGAGAAGAGGGTGGAACAGCCACCACTGTGGGTGGCTCTCTGGAGTGTTCTTTGCTAGCCTGTTTGGCTGTCCCACTACTCCTCTGTCTGTCTGTCATGTGGTGGCTCACATGTTGCTGTGATGTTAGAAGCTATGCCAACAACATGTCAGACAGCACCAGCCCAGTCACTCGTGGTAGACAGGTTCCGGCGGAGCTTCCAGACCGAGGCAGACTAAGACGCAGGGCTGGTCATTCATCTCCAAGATCACAGGCCCTTGGAAACCCTACGAATAGCAGCAGAACATTGTCTGATACAGTGTTGGAAAATGAGGCCTTCTGGTTAAGAGGTATTCAAAAGACGATCGGGAAAGAGGGGTTTCCTCAAAACAGGGAAAATGAAAAACCTCAAAACTAATCGAGTGGAGTCAGAACTGACTCCTAGTCGACGCTCCAGCAGGCTTTTTTTTTTAAGCTGTAAATTTTACAGCAGGAAACCGTCCATCTCTCTCTAGAGGAGCTGGAGGGGGATTCGAACCACCGGAGAAATATCACCATTTGAGTTTGGCAGCATGACTCCCTACGGACTACGTCACCAGAAACGGTCTACCCTCAGTGACTCTTCTGCTTGAAAAACTCTTGTTTTGCACTGTCTTGGAATCAAACTGAGCCTTCCGTACGACAGGTAAAAATTCTTCCACATAATGCATAGAGTCCCACTGCTAACCCCAGATCTGCTTCTCTCATAGCTCAAACACGCCAGCAATTCCGAGTGAGAGAGACAGGCAGTCTTCTCTAACGCAGGCTACAGCTTCCGACAGTCTGCTGGAAGTCAGCGGTGGTCAGATGCACCTTGGAGGCGTGTGGGGGTTTTTTAGTTTTAATGAATGATTGAAGAGTAAAGCTTTCAGTCAACAAAGAACTATCATTTGCTGAGGTAGCTCAACTCCAAATGAGAAGAAACAGTTGCCAAATGATCAGACTGCGGGCCATATTAAGAATGAATCAAAGGGAGCTATGGTGGCCTAGTGACAAGGAGGCTGCGCTGCAATCCCAGAGGTATACAGTTCTAACCCACCTGATGCTTTGCTGGAGAAGGAGAGGCAAACTCCTCCTGTACCAGTCAGATCTGATTTGACACTACATGCACAAAAAAAATAATAATTTTTTAAAAAAAAATAATGAATCGAGGCCAATAATCCAACAATCTGGACTTTGTGAAGAAGAACCCAGCACCAAAGATTGAAGGACGAATCGCAAACAATCTGCAATATGCAGATAGAACAATATTACTTGCAAAGAATAAAGATGCCCTGAAGCACTTGCTGATCAGTGTGGATTCTACATCAAGGAAACAAAAATCCTCACAGCTAAGCCAATAACCAATATCATTATAAATGTTGAAAAGGCCGGTGTTGTCAAGGATTCCATTTTACTTGCATCCACACTTGACACTCACAGAAGCAACAGTCAAAAAAGTAAATGGATTTGCCCAATTATTGGACAAATCTGCTGTAAAGGCTTTTTTT